TCAGAAAATATGAAAACTGGAGCTATTCCATTACCCTGGGTAAGATGTTTCGGAAAGCTCACAGAAAATGGAATTGCAAAATGTTCATTTTGGTGCAGTCCTTTGAAGTCAGGTACAGTTGTTTAATTTGTATTTTTGAATAAAGTTTTTAAAGTACTCTCACATTTCAAAGTTTCAGAGCAAATCTGAGAGCAAAGCAGACGTCCTGTGTATTTCCAAGTCAGTTGAAGTAGATTCTACCTTGCAAACACTCCCATTTCTCACGATAACAAGACAATGGGAGTAAGAACTGTGAATGAGCTTAAAACAATTCCCATGCCCTGGGCGTCTAGTGAAAACACCTAACTTCCATTCGGTGCTGTTCTAGTGCTTTATGAAATATTTATATAGTGGATGATAAGTGTTTTGATTGCTTTTTTATTCACACTTCTTATTTAAAACTATCCTAGATCAAATCAATATTAGAATGTACTATAAAAGACATCACAACTGTTTTACACAGTGCCAGAGGAGTGGTTCAACTCAAAGCAGAGCAAGTCTGGGGGAAGAAGTATGTGTGACTCGATCTGCAGCACAGCACTTAGAACAACACTGGCTGGGTGTGAGTGTGTACGCTCAGACACCTGCATGATAGTTGTAGCGAGGATACTGTGAGTTGAAGGAAACTGCTGATCATGTCTGTGGTTATAATACAGGCAAATCATATTTATTCTTTAAGAAGACCCTTGAAAGCCCTCGAAACTCCTTTATATTTAGTATTTCATTTTTTACTACAGTCACGTGATTGTTAGAGAAGTATGGAAAGTAGAGGACGTGGGAAGACCACACGACGTTCAGCCAGATGCCTGACACCTCGCTCTGGCTTTGCTGCCCATGTCCTCACCATTTCATTGTTCCAAGACTTCTATCTCCTTTTCACACGCTGGTAGTCTGCAATTTAGGGTAGCCGACCGCTGAAGTGCCTTCCCTGGCAGCCAGGCTCTGTGCATCCTACTGTGTGTTTGCTACATTTAGGAAATTTTTAACAGCTCCTGGAGCGGAATTAAAAGACAGATTAATTTTGGTGCAAAAAAATGTTTCAGAACTTTTGCATATGAGAGGTGATCAAAAAGCTCAAGAAACATGTATCATGAGCAAACTGCATGGCTTTCGAAATTGTTTTGTCCCAAAACAAATTTCTCTCTTGATCCTGTTTTCCATGGATTTTCAAAGTACCCACCTCCATTTGTGCATATATGGTTTCCATGTTATGTATTCTGTCGCATCTCACACCCGTCATACACACATGCCCACCCTGCTACCCACAACGTATCTGCTTACATGATCTATACACTAAGAACATACCTAACTCAGTTTTATGTGCACGTCTGTGTCCATGTGTGTGCATGACTCCACTGCTAGCTCGCAGGCAATGTCTACCAAGCAACCAGACTGCACTGTGTCACTGATGGTAGTTACTAAATGCCAGACTCACTTTGGAGCCCTGGTCATGACATGTGCAAGCTGGGTGATGTCAGGTCTTTGACTTTGCCTCATGTCACCTCAGTTTTGTCGTTTGATTGGACACAAGTCAGACTTTCTGCCTCGTGGTGCTGGCATTAGGATTCAAAGAATGATATGGAAAACGGTGCTCATACACAGTGGACACTGTAACCACTCCATACTTCTCCCAGTGCTCTGTGAAGTACCGATTTCTGTCAGAGAGACTCAGTAACTTACCCAGTGCTCACACGGGTCCTGAGAGAACCGTTTTTGTCAGAGCAGGCTGTTGGGTGTCGTTTTCCACGGCAGAAGGTAGTCACCAGGCAAGGCGTCTCTTCTCTGGGTGTGGCTGACCTGACTTGTTCTCCCAAGGTGACCCTGACTTCAATGCAACATCCAGTCCTGCACTCTGCAGGGCGAGGGGCTTCCTTGAATCCTTAGAATAACTGAACGTGGGAAGGGGCAGAAGGTGTGATTTTATGGGGATCACCTTGCCCCATACAGAAGAATGGCTTCCCAATGGCTTTTGGGAAGAAGGTAGGTGCTAAATAACTGACAAATGCCTTTGCTAGTTTCTGCACTGCTCTAGGTAAGCTGTCACCCTTTCATCCTTGCTCCAGTTCAAGTGCTCAGGAGGTGACGCCAGGGAACCTCGCAGACTTCTGAATCTAGGTTGCTATAGGCTTCTCGCCCTATGCATCGGGGACCTCTCCAGGGTCAGAGTGTGGCATGCACCGGTGGCTTCCAAAGGCCTGTTCATAAGCCTGTACTCAAGTTGTGACAAAGTGCAAAAAGAAAGATAATTATATTTGCATTGGTTTGTGACATTTCTATAGTAATATCCCATGCAGTTCAGTTGCAACTGTACAGACTATGAAAATAAGTGGATCCCAGAGTGTTTCTTCAGACCTGATGTTCCAAAAGTCTGGAATCCTGCGTGGAGGCCAAGCTTCTGTCCGGGAGAAATAGCACGCCTGAGACTGCTGGTCAAGCCACACAGCTCACTGGGAACCAGCAGGCCCATCTTGCTACTCAGTAACTTGTGGCCTGGAGGGGCTCAGTGGCTTACAGCCACAAGGGGCATTTCCTGTTCACAGCATGTGTTCATCATGGGCTCCCAGGGCTCCACCACTCCGTTCTTACTCCGCTGCCTTTTGGGTCCCTTGGCCACGTGCTACCATCCAGCACATGGCATGTTCAGACTGCAGTCCACAGAACTCAACTTTCAAAGCTGCGTATACTCTTTTCTCCATAGGTGATCCCGAGATGTTCTAGCACATTCTTTTCCAAAATCAACATATGGTTTTTGGATATTTGCCCTTGGCGTATCAACATAGGGATTCTATCGCACAAGACAATGAACTTGAATGAACTTGGGGCTGCTGTATGAATGACATCTCCCCTAAAACTCGGGATGGGACCGGATTGCCATTACGGCAGCAGTGACAGGAGATGAGAGCAGAATTTACCCTCACGGTGGAATCCCTGCGGCTGCAACGGGACCCGCCAGGCATCTTGTGCAGAGCTCTGTTGCTGCAAGAATGTACCAGAAGGAAAGGCGTTTCACTCACTTATCAGCACAAGGTCATGCATCAGTTTGGGCCCTGGAAATGACAGTGCAGGTCAGTCCTTAGGTCTCCAGGAAGGACCCAGATCTTGCAGGGTGATGACAGAAGTCACAGCGAGCGACGTGGGGAGCAGGGTCTCTGCACCACGGCTCAACCTGCTGCCTGGATGACCGACGCATCCACCGCACCTAGGAGAGTTGGAAACCATTTTGTGTTTTCTCTGTCACGGCTTGCCTTTGAAAGGGGGAAGATGGAGGTGACGCTAGGACAAAAAGGAGCATTATCTGGAAAACTCAGAAAGCAGGCGTCCAGAAGACAAACCACTGTGCGCTCTCCCAGGCATCCAAGTGAAATGCAGCTCACTCACACACAAAGGGGTTGCTTTGGCAACATTATAATACTCTGAAGCCTTGTTTAAAGTACATCACTATTTTTTTTTTTTACACGTCCTTTCGCTGGCTTTGAGAAGGGAGGGAGCGAGCATCCCAGAACTAAAAGCCAGAGAAAGAAGTTTCAAGGCAGAGGGGGCACCTGAGTGGGAGAGCCGCCTGAAGGGTGAGCCTAGTGGCAGTAGGGGGCGCTGGCGTGGCACACAAATAAGGAGTTTCCGAAAAGAGGAGGTCTGCACTCAGAAGGCCGGCGGGAGGGAAAAGGCTAGCTGGACCGGCTGGCCTGGGGGACTAGCTCCCCCTGCCGCCTGCGGGCTGTCCGGTCCGGTGATATTTGCAGGGATCACATGAATTTGGGGCATCTCCTGCGCAGACCGTTGTCCTGCGGCTGCGGGCTAGGCCTCGCGCTTTGTCCCCCAAGCTTCCCACGTCGCTCGCAGAGGCGCAGAGGTGCGCTCCCGTGCGCTCGCTGCTTCCCACGGGGCCAGCGGTCACCACATTATTTTCGTGTCCCCTCCAGCCCTGCAATTTGCCTAGAGGGACGATCCAGCGGAGCCACAAGTCTCTCTGCCCCCGTTTTCCTCCCCACTACGGTCCCTAGAACAACAGGGGAACAAGGTAACGACCGCTCCCCAGGTTGTGAAAGGTAGGGCGATGGAGGCGACCAGGGCTGCCACGCCCTTGGCCGTGCAGCTCCAGCCGGGAAGGACGCCGCGCTCCCCTGCCTGCGCCCCGGCCGCCCGCAGGGCCTTGGCGAGCCTGCCCTGGCGGCTCCCACCGCGTTCTGGGCTGGAAGTCAAGTGACCCACTGGGTTCCGGGCCAGCCGAGGCTGGGCCTCAGTTTCCTTCTCAGTTTAGCCCCGGGCCGGGCACTCTGGCTCCCCGAGGCCTCTGCAGCCCCCGCGCACTCGGCCCAGGACGAGGGTGACCTCCCTGTCAGCACCAAGGACAAGGGCGCCCGGGCTCAAGGTCACTTCCAGGAGCGCTGGCTCAGCCGCGGAGAGCCTGGGGGTGTGCGGCCCGGGGTCCGGCGCGGGGCGCGCGGCGGGGAGAGGGTGGGCAGAGGGGCGCACCCCGAGGGCTGGCGGTCTGGGGCCGGCTTGCTGCGGCCCCGCGGACTCTGCACTGAGCTGCGGCCGCGACCGCCCCTCCTCGGCCCCGCGTCGCGTCCCGCCCACCCCTGCCCGGCCCCTGGCCCGCGCAGCGACCGCACCCCGCGAGGGAGGCCGCCTCCTCGGGGATCCCCCCAGCGCCGCCTCCGCCGTCCCTCCGGCTTTCTTTAGGACGCGCCCGGGGCCTGGCACCCCCTCCCATCCCTCCAAAGCCGGGGGCGGGGGCGCCTCCCGCTCCGGGGACCCCAGCCCCTGGCTGGGAGGGGCCTCGCCCGCCGGCCCGCCCCCGGCCCCGCCCCGCCGGCCCTCCCGCCGTTGCCCAGGGAACGGCGGATCCCGCAGCTGCAAGAAGCGCCCGGCCCCGCCGAGCTGCTCTCGCCGCCGCCGCACCGCCGCCACACCGCTGCCGCCGCTCCCCAGCTCCGGCTCCCGCGCCCTCCCGGCCCGCCATGCCTCGTCGCCGCGCCCAGGAGCCCGGTGCGCAGCTGCTGCCCGCGCTGGCCCTGCCGCTGCTCCTGCTGCTCCTCTCGGAGCCCCGCGGCGGCTGCCTGGCCAACCCGGTGCCCGCCGCGCCCCAGTCCGCACCGGGCCCGTGCGCGGCGCAGCCCTGTCAGAACGGAGGTGTGTGCACCCCGCACCCCGCGCCCGGCCCTCAGCACCCGGGCGAGCCCGGCTACAGCTGCACCTGCCCTGCCGGGTTCTCCGGAACCGACTGCCAGGTGAGTGGACGCGGGGCGCCGTCAGGGGGCCCGCAGCTCGCTCCGCTGCCGCCGCAGCTGCCCGGCTCCAGCACGCCCGACGCCAGCTTCTGTCACTTCGGGAATGCGGTGGCCCCGGCTCCCTGGTGCCCCGGCTCTGGGGGCGCCGCTCCGGGGTTCGGCTGCCGCCCTAGCTCAGAACTCCTGGCTCCGCGTCTCCGGCGAGGGCGTCCGCGCTCCGGGTGGCCAGTGCTCCACGTTGCGCTGGACCCTTCGGGGTCGAGGGCGCGGACCGTGGGAGGCGACAGGGCGTGGCGGGCCGGGTGCCGGGGAGTCGGCCGCTGTCCTTCCCCTCTTCCGCCGCGGAGGGCTCGCCCCTCGGCCTGCGACCCGCCCCGGGCTCCGCGCAGGGAGAGTCGGCGACCTGCCCGGGGCAGGGCGCGCGCGGGGCCGTCACCGTGGCCCTCCCGGCTGGACGCCGCGAGGCGCACGCTGGGCGCGCGGAGGTGCAGCGGGGAGCGGGCGGACCGTGAACTGGGGGCTTTTCCGAGTCTGCAAGCCGGGGGAGACCCCGTAACACCATCTCAGTAGGCGAGTCGAGGGAGCTCTCCCGGCAGTCGGAAGATCTCCTAGTCTCTTGCAAGGCGAGGGAAATAACAAGTTGACCTAAAATGATTCAACGAAGCCGAGAGAATGGGGAACATGGTCAGGGTCAAATGCTTGTTTCCTGACTGACGGTGGTTTAAGTTACTTTGACAAAGCTCGGAAATGCGCCTCTCTGAATGGGGGAAATTTTTGTTTTTTCTCCCTCTCTCCCTTTCAAATGGGATGGAGAAACTTGACCTTGATGGCTAGATTTTTCTTTCTTTTAACTATTAACCTGGTCTGCCCCCCTCCCCCGGCCGAATAGGAGACATGAACCAACGGGTGCTCTTTCTCTTCCCTCGAGGGAGATGGTGTGTGATGGGGCGCTAGGAACAGCTTTGGGGCAGGACTGCTCTCGGAAAGTCGATTCTAACCCCCAGAACACAATCTTGCTTCTTTTGGGAAAGGAAAAAAAAAATTGCAGTTTTAAAACTGGAGAGTGAATTCATGCCGGTTTCCACTATTGGTTGATGATTCGTGTGAATTTTACAGAAAACAAAAACAAAAACAAAAAGGTTGCCCTGATGCTTCGCTGCAACTTTTGTTCTCTTTAACTGTCTCATATTCTGATGTTGAAAGAGATGGTTGGTTTGGACCTGGGGTGGGGTGGGAATGGACAGGGCAAAATAGCTGTAACAGCAGTCAGCTTCGGGAGATGGAGAGGGGACTGGGTGCCGGGGGCTTTGCTGTTGCCTGGACGTGACTAACAAAAGCACGATTGTTTTGGTCCGGTCCAAGTTGTGATTTGTGGTGTAGTTTCTGAACTAAGCCACACACTGTGGCAGAACCAACCAATTCTAGGCATATTCCAGCTTCCTGTGGAGCTCTGGCTGGAGACAGGCTCGGCGTGGGAGGGCTGCTCACCTCCCGAGAAGTCAGACCAGATGCTGAGGACCTGGCAGGGGACGAGAGCTGCGGTCACCGCCCCGGAATGCTGTGCAGGTCTGGAGCCCAGTGGGACTCGGCCCCCAGAAGAACACGGTGAAGTGATTGAAAACCTTAGAATGCCAACAAATTTGATGACTTTAATTCCATTCCCCATGATCTTGCAATAGGAGACTTATTTTCTGTGAAAACAGAACATGGCATTTTTCTAAAAGGCAATCTCAGAAGAAGAGAGAGAGAGAGTGTGTGTGTGTGTGTGGGGGGGGTGACAGAGAGACTGCACACAGCTATCGGTGAAGGGGTGGTGGGCCTGGCTGTTGGTGATTGAGCTCCCTAGAGAAATGGATAATGCGATTTCCCCCAAGAATTCATGAAGGGGCATGCCACCCCTCCCCAAAATCCGAGGAGGATGGTGTCAGCCAGGGTAGCATTAGGGCCTAACTTGGAAGTTTCTTTTCTTTGGAGAAACTGATGAGAGTCGGAGGTGGCTGGTGTGAGTGCAGGTATGGGAAGGCTGTGTAGGACTCCCCTGGGCTGGGCTCAGCCTGTAGGGCTGCAGGTTGTGGGCCACGGGGCTATTGGTGGCAGCAGACTTGGGGTGTGGCTTCTGTTAGTGGTGCAGGATTGAATCTCTCCTGGCATGGATTCTGCCCTACCGGTTTGTTTCTTGCTGTCCAAAGGCTGCAACCTTGAAGCCTTGGCCGACCCTCTTCTCTCTTTCCCTGGCCTGGTGCTCGTCTTGCCCTGGTGGCTGTCTCAGTTCCGTTCCCTGCAGGCATCCAGCTTGCCCCCCTGGCATTCCTCGTGGGCCCAGCAGGGACCCTCTGCCTGCCCTTCCAGTGTGTGTTTCTTCGTCTAGACGTCCAGACCACATTTTGGGGAGGTGTGTTTTGTCTCTGATTCTGGGGTGGGTGTCCAGGACAAGGGTTTGGGGGAAAATCAGTGAATGAAGTGATGATGGTTGCACAGCACCTGTGGCACCTCTGTCACTGTGCCCTTCCCCTTTTCTCATTTTGGGGCACACATTTCCCATGCTTGACCCTTCACTGGCTAAGGTACACAGAGCCATTGTCGTTCCCTGGAGTCAAACCCAACAGCTTGAGGTGCATTGTACTTGAGTGATGGATCCAAGACCTCCCGTTTTGATATCCTCCTGAAAATCATCAATTCTTTAGACTCCAAGTCTTCTACTGTGCTTACATGTCTTAAAGAATGAGAAGGTCAGCCGGTGGGGTTCCAGTTCATGGAGATGTGATGGTGGTGGGCTGCTTCCTCTAACATTTGCCTGATGCCAGCACAATGTGGACTTCGCAGTAAGGTTCTTGTGAGGCTCTCTGTGTTGGGAGCTGTCCCCTTGTGCATTGTGCAAGTGGCATGCAGGGACTGTCCCCGTGCCACATGGCTAGGAAATGGAAGCAGCCGGGGGGTTGGTGCAAGGCTGAGGTGGTGCCTTGTCATCGTCCGCTGTGTGGCCTTGCCGTGGAGCAGCCCACGTGAGTCCTGAGGCCAGCCTTGTGTGATTGCGCTCAGCTGGCATTAAGGACCCACACGTGTCAAAGATGCAGCAGCTGCAGCTACCTTAGAGTTACAATATAGGGCCCCAGCTGCAGTTAGTTCTACCGTGAGGACAAGCAAACATGCTAAGTAAGAGAGAGACAGGTATTTCTGGCAGGTTTGATAAAAATCAATTTTTCTTTTGAGTCTCTGCTGTTGTGGTTGATCTAGGGCGGGAGCAGGTGTCCCAGGTGGCTGATGGTGAATAGTCCAGGAATGCCTCCCTCCTCTCAGGCTGCCCAGCAGAACTGGGAAACACTGAGATGGGCTGTTTTGTTGGCAGACCTGGTTTGATTTTAATGAGATAATCTGTTGCCAGGCATTCAAGCAGTGGGACACATTTTTGTTTGTTTGTTTTGACATGTTCCCTGGGGAGCTCTTTCTTTGGAATTTTAATGAAAACATGTCAGTCTGTACGAGGAAGAAAAGAAAGGTGTATCGAGTTGCCTTTGATACAGCTGGATTGTTAGTCATGAAGCTGGTGCTGTAACCCTCCGTCATGGTTAAGCATGCCGACTTGGAACAGTGCCTCTGCTTTGGATGAACCCGTTTGTCCTTTGAGGATGGCTAACAGCAGCACAGGATTCCAGTTCCTGGTGTGGACTGCAGTGCACACGCACACACACATACGTGTCCTGACTTGGTGGTGGGTGCGAAATGTCACAAATCAGCGGAAATGTCGAAGAACGCTACTTTAAAAATAATAATGAATTTATGTTATTTTTGATGGTGTTTGCATAGTTGAGGAGAATGCATGCCCAAGTGGACCGCTGCTTAAGGTGGGAAGGGTCGAGGAAGGAGGGAAACTGGGGAGGCAGTTGCTTCCTTTGTTCCCTCCTGTACCTGGGGGAAGCAGGGAGAAAGGGGAGGAAGGCTGCTCCGAGCAGTCTGACCCCATCAGTACCCGGGGATGTGGGTCGGTCCCTCTATGTCATCTGAAGGTCCCCGATGTGGAGCATGTTCTGAGGGCACTGCTGAAGTGGTTTTGATTGTTCTTAGATGCTGTTGATTTTGTTGCTCCAAGGTTGAGAAAGTCCTTCCAAGGTCTGTTGGTTGATGTGGCCCACCTCAGAGTTTCTACTCACCCGGATACTTGCTGTCAATGCTTGGCCAGGACAGTTGTCTAATTTATTTTGCCTTCCATGGTATTATATGTCCTCTGTAGGCCTCAGTGAGCTGTCATGTCCCACAGGCTTCAGGAACCAAGGAGGCCCAGTTCTGACACATGCACTCCACGGTCAGACCACAGATCCTGTGATTTTTCCCTGTGATTGGAGTTTTGAGTCCAGTGGTCCTGCTGGGGGTGACGTCCCCAAAGAAACCTCACCAAAGGTGACCCCAGACCTGACTGGTGTGTGTGCAGCCAGTGCGGGGTCCATCTTAGTCCATCACCCATGTCAGCCTACACACACACTGGTGGTTGCAGTCGCCCAGTCAGTTCTGCAAAGGACATTACTTGTCTCTCTGGCTTTCCCTTTCTTTTCTGTGACCTTGGGAGGATCCTGGACGGTGCGGGAACCTCAGTGTTTGCATCTTTGACGTGGATTCATGATCTTTGTCTGTTTTTCTTTATAGAAATGATGCAAGTCACACACGAAAGCATAGTAAATTTCTTCCTGTAAGTGGAGCTGATACATTGAAAAAAAAAAAAAGGACAGTGTTGTCCAAATACAGGTTGTGCTAAGAGGGGTGTTGGATCGTTTTTCTATAAGGAAAGTGATGACACCAGTTTATGATGTCCGGATGTTCCCCTTCAATGAAAAGAATCAGATTTCTCCACTAGGTGACTTGTGCTAACATGTCTTAAACATGACTAATTGTGTTATGATTTTCACAAATGCGTAGTTTGTTTTATTACATAAACCATTTCTTGAAAGAGTTTGCAGTGACCTGAAGTTTTCCTCTGAAGTGAAAGAAAAAAATTGTCAACATTTTAT